TTTTTTTAGTGTTCTGTCTGACGACAGGTTCATATGAACAGGATTCTTCCATCCTTTTCTCGGACTGGGACCTGTTCATATACGTTCTTGGCAGATGATCCAGAAGTGGTTTGCCATTGCCTTCTTCTGTGTGTGAATGTAGTAATTGTTGGGATGCCACGGAGAAACCGGGGAAGCCCCCGGAGGAAAACTCCGTGTTGCCAAGACCACGACCTTGCCCAACACAAGTTATAAATTCGGGCACCACCGGGAATCGAACCCAAGACCCCAGGATTACAAGGCCAGCGTTCTAACCGCTGGACCACCGTGGCAAAGAGAATTGAATAACTAAGTACGTAGTCATAAAAATTAATTTGCTTATTGTCTAATTCTCTGTAAGTATGAGGTAACACACAATGTTGACCACGTGACTCATTCCGGCAGTTTGTTTATTGAACATAATCTGTTGCTATAAACTCCAACTTCACGTGCTTCTGAGCAGCAAGTCTGCTTGCCTGGTATTTTAATTTCATTTTCTTTTGTTTCGAAAGCTCCGACTGTCATTTATTCTTTTGTCACGTGAAAGGGATGTTGGTTATTCAAGGACATCAGCCAAGGGCCCGGAAATCGAGTTGGCACGCTCCACCTACTTCAGTAACTGAGAACAAAATTCACATGTGTCGGTTACAGGGGGGAGGCGGCTAGAACGGATTATTCTCCGCCCATCAACTAGGACAGTACCGCCCAAGACTACTTCCCGTCTCAACCGAGTCTGACATCTATCGGCGGTTGACGGAGTTTGATAGAGCTACAGTGCCTTAGCGGGAAGCGGGGTGGGAGGGGAGACACGCGCTGCTCTCACGCATTCAACTTTTCCACACTCAACGCAAGAGGGGGGTAAGGGGTGGGGGGGACGAGGCGTTTGAAGGATAAGGTCGACAGACAGAGGCGGAGTCTCTTCAGTCTTCGCCTCGCCGCTTAAGAGGTGACAAGGCTGTAGTGATGGTAATACACAGTTTCCTCGCGGTGACGCTAGAGATCAGACGCGAGATAGCGTGAAGTGTTATGCTATGCTATAACTGACAATGAAAATTATTCATGATACTGTTTCTCGGGTGTGTTATCTGCTATGATTACAGAGACGCTGTTGAGCACAAAGTGTTGTGAGCATCTATCAACAAGACGTGAGAAAAGTGTTTGTGTTGGATGTCAGTATGACGCCACTGGTGTTTCTCGGGTTGCTAACAGTTCTGACAGTCGAGTGCCGTAGTATAACGAGCAGATATGAGGACGCTGTTAAAGACTGCGAGTGGCAACGCATAACACCGGTACTTGACTCCGTGAGTGATGAAGACGCCGCCGATACCTCAGCGTCGCTGGCGTCGGTTGTGCTTTCGTGTCGCCTACGAACTATCGGCGGAACAGACAGTCTGCTTAACAACCTCACCTCCACGCAGGTGGCGCGGATAACGGCTCTGCGACTCGAATGCAGTGACGTGCTGTTCTTCGAAAGTTCGCTAGAGAACAATAACAAACATGACGGCGGAAGTTTTCTGGGCCAGCTTCGGTGGCTGCGTGACCTTCGCATCGAGTACTGTAAGATCAGGTACGTGCCCTCGGCCGTGTTGGCGTCTCTGCGGGAACTACGGCACTTCTCACTTCGCACCCACAACACGGACTGGTCCGCCATGACTATGGAGTTTCATCCGGACAGTTTCCGTGGCCTCCCGGACCTCCGAAGCCTTGATCTCGCGGACAACAACATATGGACCCTGCCGCCAGAACTTTTCTGTCCGGTGTACAGTCTCGCACATCTGAATCTCAGTCGTAACCGAATCCAAGATGTCACAGAACTCGGCTTTTCAGACTGGGGAAATGGTCCATCTGCTCCTGGGAAATCTTGTAATGTTGGTCTCGAAGTTCTAGATTTATCTGCAAACGATGTTATTCGTATCCCGGATAATGGTTTGTCCAGCCTTCGCTCCCTCCAGAAATTATACATCCAAGATAATTCGCTTACGTCCCTGGCAGACAGGGCCCTTGTCGGTCTCACATCCCTACAAATCCTCAACGCCTCGAGCAATCTCCTTGTTGCCCTCCCGCCAGAATTATTCCAGACTTCACGCGACATCAAAGAGATCTACCTACAAAACAATTCCATAAGCGTACTTGCCCCTGGCCTCCTGGAAGGCCTAGATCAACTTCTTGTGCTGGATATTTCGTCCAACGAGTTGGCCAGCAATTGTGTTAACCGCGACACCTTTTCTGGATTGGTTCGCCTAGTGATACTCAACCTGTCCCGCAATCATATCACGCGAATAGACTCGCACGTGTTTCAAGACTTGTACAGTCTGCAGATTCTTAATCTAGAGGAGAATGGTATTGACGTGATCGCGGAAAGTGCTTTCTCCAGTCTCAGCAATCTTCATGCTCTAACCTTGACACACAATAATTTGGTTCAGCTGGAGTCGCACCATTTCACAGGACTTTACGTGTTAAACCAACTGTATCTAGATAATAATCGTATAAAAAGCATCCACTCCCGCACATTTGAGAACTGTACTAACTTGCAGGATCTTGGCATTAGTGGTAACAATCTGATGGAAGTACCACACAGTATCGGTCATCTTCGTTATCTCAAGAGTCTGGACTTGGGAGATAACCATATCTCCAAACTCGTTAACACTTCCTTCGAAGGCCTAGATCAGCTATACGGATTACGCCTTATTGACAATGATCTAGTAAACATTTCTAGGGATACATTTTCTGCTCTAACGTCTCTTCAGGTATTGAATCTAGCGTGTAATAAGATACAGCTTGTGGACCAGGGTGCTTTCGGAACGTATCCAAACCTCAAAGCAATAAGACTTGATGGAAATCGATTGACTAATATTGACGGCATCTTCACACATCTACCTGGACTCGTGTGGCTTAATGTGTCCGACAATCAACTAACATGGTTTGACTACGCATTGCTACCACCAAGTCTTGAGTGGCTTGATGTGCATAAGAATCAAGTGTCTAAGTTAGGTAACTATTTTGACATTCGCAACAAACTGCAAATCAAGATGTTAGATGTGAGCTTCAATAGACTGACTGAAATAGGAGAAGATTCAATACCGAACAGTGTGGAAAGTGTTTTCCTAAACGACAACATGATAAGGAAAGTTCAAGCCAATGCCTTCCTCAAGAAAGTGAATTTGAGTAGAGTTGTGTTATATGCAAACGAACTACAAACCTTAGATTTTAGCGCTCTTAGACTCCAACCGGTATCAGAAGACAAGGACCTACCACAGTTTTATATCGGCGGAAATCCATTTCACTGTGACTGCAACATGGAGTGGTTGCACAGAATTAACCAGCTGAGTCATCTAAGACAGCACCCGCGTATCATGGACCTAGATACTGTCACGTGCAGACTTTCTTACTCGCGAGGTGATATCAACAGAGCCCTTCTAGATTTGAAGCCATCGCAGTTCCTCTGCCCTTATGAGACTCACTGTTTCGCTCTCTGTCACTGCTGTGACTTCGACGCCTGCGACTGCGAGATGACGTGCCCTGAAAACTGTACTTGCTACCACGACCACACGTGGTCTGCCAACGTAGTTGACTGCTCCAGCGGCGGCCACAGATCGGTCCCGGCTAAAATTCCGATGGACGCCACAGAAATCTATTTGGACGGGAACGACCTGGGAGAGCTGGGCAGCCACGTGTTCATAGGAAAACGGAAGCTTCAGGTGTTGTACCTGAACAACAGCAAAGTAGCGGCAATCCACAACAGGACGTTTAATGGCGTCATGTCTCTTCGCATATTGCACCTCGAGAACAATCGGCTTCAGGAACTGAGAGGCTTCGAGTTTGATCAGCTTGATAATCTGAATGAGTTGTACTTGGACCACAATGCTATTACACACGTCGGCAATGCAACATTCTCGACAATGCAGTCTTTGGAAGTGCTTCGCCTTGATGAAAACAAGATCGTAAACTTCTCGCCCTGGCTGCAACTGGCGGTTGCAGCAGGGACCCTGGCCAAAGTCTCTCTTGATGGCAACGCGTGGACCTGTGAGTGCGAATCCGTGAACCGCCTCGAGGAGTGGCTGAAACAAAACATGGACGCTACAAGTGGCTCGAACCCCAGTAAGATGTTGTGTCTCAATGGTGGTAACAAAAAGACGAAGGAAAACGTTGCCGACTTCATCAAACAGTGCAACAAAGATAATCATAATGCGTTTGCTACCTCCGTGGTACAGAGGAATCCACTATTCACCAACAGCGTGCTAGGCGACAGTTACGTGCCACTTCTAGCAGCAGGTTTGGTCGTCTTAATGGTCGTTCTTCTCGCCAGCACTCTCATCTTCATATTCCGGCAGGACATTAGACTCTGGGCACATTCTCGTTACGGCATTCGATTATTTAGTGATACCGCTCCAGCTGCTGATGTTGATGACGACAGAGACAGGCTCTATGACGCTTACATGGTGTACAGTATCAAGGACGAGGACTTTATTAGCAGAGTAATAGCTTCTGAACTTGAGCAGAGTGGATATTCCATGTGCCTTCATTATCGCGACATTCATCTCATGAGCGGTACGTCTTTCCTGGCTGACAGCATCCTTAGTGCCTCAGATGCATCTCGCAGAATTATTATTGTGTTGTCCCTAAGCTTCCTGCAGAACGAATGGGATAGACCAGAATTCCGCGCGTCGTTGCAAGCGTCTTTGGAACAAACTCGGATGGCCCTCAGAAGGAAGAAGGTGATATTCTTGCTGACCACCGACCTGCAGACTTTCACTCTTGATCCCGATTTGCATATACTTCTGAGGACTTACACTGTAATCTCATGGGGGGAAAAAAGGTTCTGGGAAAAACTGCGATATGCCATGCCCGACGTCGTTGCAGTCCAGAAAAATATAAAAAAGGGCAGAAAGTCGCCTTCAGTAGCAGTAAATGATCTGAAGAAAAAAGTTGCGAGAGATGGTGAAGGTGGTAAGACGACCTCCAGAGTGGCAAGCGCCAGGTACATCGCGACGCCGACTTCCCTGGATTCCTGGTACAAGTACTCAGCCATGTCGCAGCCACATCCTCAACAGGCGACAGCCCCGTTGCATCAGGCGGTTCCTACCCCCACCCCTACGCAGTCAACGTACGTGTCCGAGAACTCGTCGCAGAGGACAACTGACCACGAAGAGGAGGAGAGTTCAACGACGAACGGGAGTCATCAGCACGAGTACCCCGAGAACCACAACAGGCACAGCTACACGGCTGTCGACACGAGGCACCCACATCACCGCCATAAAAACAACAACCACAGAAATCACCATCACCATCAACACCACGTGTACAGCACCATACCAGACTCAGTCCCATTAACTGACCCCCACAGCAGATCCGCCATGTCGAACGGGGACCCCTCTGACAACTACCCTGCCGCCGTGTGTAAAGTTAACAATGCCAATACCTTTGTTGCAAATGGGAGGACTTATTTTGTGTAAATTGAAGTGACCTGTTTCCAAGTATTCACTGAGCTCAGGCCTAAAGTGATAAAGTGGACATGAGACCCGGCTTACAACACAACTTTGATGTTTCGACTAGTCAACTCAGAGACGTTAATCAGAAGGTACGTACAGAAACTAGTCCTAACCGTATCAACATGGTCTACTTCTCTCTCTGAATGGAATATCGATTCCAAGTCTGTTGCGAACTATATATAAAGTTTCAAGAGCATCTCGTTGTGTTTCCATTACCAGCACCAATTTGCGTTACTAGCCTAATGTTTTCTGTCCGTTCTGGTGCGCACATAGCACGCTGAGGGCACAATTAAGTTAGGGCCAGCATCGTGTGTACACGGCGCTAACGAGAAACTGAACGGGCAGCCTACTCTACAGGGTCACGCTCTATATTTGTGTTATTTAATTTAATGAAATGTGTTTGTGCAGAACCAACTTAATATTTGTACAAAGGTTAAACTGGTCATTAATTAATGGTTCCTGCAAAAGTCTTTATTTGTTTACTCCTTTTTTTACATTTGTTTTATGTACATTTTCTCTATCATTCTGTTTGTAACTTGGACTCGTATCGCTTAAAAGGGTGTATTTAAGATTAAATGTAATTGTAAACAGAGAGCTTCAAAATGAGAAAAATAAATCGAAGTTTGTGCACCAGGAGCTTTGTTTTTCAACAGAATGTATTACTTAAACCGAGCCAATAAAATATTTGCACTGAATAGGTATCAGTCACGAAGGGCTGATGAAAAATTAGTGCAAAAACAATCGGCCTATTAGTTGGAGAACCTCAAGGAGTGAGGAAACTTGTCAGACCAACGTCTAGAGGGGAGGATAATATTAAAACAGATTTCGGACAAATAGGTCGTGGTGACTGAATTAATGTGCCACAAGATAAGGTTTAACGTTGAGTTATTTTGAACACTGTGATGAACATAAAAAGCAAGACATTTCATGACTAGCTGAACGAATATCAGCTCCAACCACCACGGAGCTGCATTCAAAAGTAGGCTTACTAATCCTTATTTTATCCCAAATCGGCAAGGACATTTATGTACAAGACCATATAGGCCAATATATAGATGACACTTTATATAAAAAGATTAAATATTTTATTCGATTTAATACTAATGAACAACTCGCAACCAATTCTTGGAAACTCCAAAAAAATCTGAGGATTCGAAGTATATTTTAATAATTTCTACGGTTGCCTTCAAGGTTTGGATGAAATGGCATTTATGCATATTTTCTGTACCTCGTGGCAAATACCTACATTTGTTATAGTTTCCATTATCACTTGCTTGTTGGTAATTTAATGTAATTTGCCGGGTTCAAAAGAAGTCATTATTTTTAAAGCGAAAACCCGGGACACTCAAAGTTTCATTCTTCCAATTCAAATTTGTAGTCAACTAAATCAGAAATCATTTTAGGCCATATCAGCCTACTTTAATTAAAAACGTAATCAAGAGTTAATTATGAAAGCAACTTACTGATGATAACTTATTTTAATCCAGCTTCACACAAAGTCTCATTAGGCTTATTTAGAAAATAAACTTTTAAAATCACAACACCATAGGTTTACATTCAATTGTTTTATTTAAAACATGAAAACATCACACACCCATTCGTCCTGCTAATCCTATAGCATCGTACAAAAGAATGTTGGCCTATTTTTTTTCGTATTCCACATAACAAATATCGTATTATAGAACCAAACTATAGACAAATTTGGATCTCTTAAATAACAACATATCTTTGCTTAGGCCTGTATGCGAAGGTTTCATCTCGCAATATAATATTTGTTTATACATTTTTAATTGTATTTTCATTAACACGAACAAGAATTTGGTGGGCAGTAGTGGCAGATGGGTCTAGTACTCAGAATCTCTGAGGGTCTCGTGTTCCATAACTCAGCAACAATAACACAGCCTGTAGGCGAAAATATTGCAATGTTAATTTATCCATAGCATTCCACTCCAAATATCGTCAAAAGCTATGTTCAAGACTCACCGCCGCGAAAACTCAAATCTTACGAAGATGTAACGTTTAAAAATAGACGCTTTAGAGATGCGCAATATTTGATAAATGTAGTGAAACATTGAGCATAAAAATGCAACAAAAATTAAAGTAGAAACAGAATAGTATCCCACTGATATGACAAAAAAGTCTGAACAAAATCTCACGGTTATCACCGCAATTTTTTGACTATTTGAATTCAAAATGTTGCCGTGTACCAGTCTGTACCATCTCCAGATTCTCATCCCCCGTCCTGATATCAATCCTCGTGTCACAGCAATATTCTGTCCGCCTTAATTACATTCTATCGCCTGCGTGCGTGCGTGCTTATGTGTGTTTGTACCCGTTCATATAACCGATATTTTGTAACTAAATTATTCACATTATTAACTTGTTCAATAAGCTGATCATTTATAGGTTAAATATTTTACAGCCATAGGCTGTGTGCACTCTACTCAAGTGGAATTTGCTGATACAGACCTAAATGCTGGTAGCAATTTCTACTGTATTCAGTTTTAAGCCCGTTAGAATTTATTTGACATGCGCACAGGTAGACGTGTTTTTATAAACATGATAAAACTGTTGTTTAAAATAACCGAAGGCAAATTGGTTCTTGCGTTCCATTGAAATTATTTATTTACTACGTGGATTATTCTGTCCAAAAGCAGAATCCGAACAGGAAAATATACAAAAGAACAATTGTATCTGTTTTGTGTGGGCCTGGAACGTGTTCTCTCGAAGAGAACAAAACATAGGCGAGGATGAGTGACTGAGGAAAGGGTTTTGGCGAAAATAAGAGACGTGACAAGGAATAGGTAACGATATTCCAAAGAAGACTGCACATTTAGGAACTGTGTAATTTGTTCGCTTCGGTAAGTAATATTAGAACTAAAAAAATAAATGATAATGCGATGTGTATGTCATGCTTACGCAGAAGAAATGCAAAACTGGTCCGAGGAGACGCTAATTGGAAGAATTACGTGTTGATGGAACGAAAATATTTGAATGTAAATTAAATACGTAGGCTGGAGGATTTGGAATAGAATAATTTAATTCAGAACTCTACATGAGCAACTTTTTTTCAACGAATGATTCTGCTCCAAGCAGTTAGGTTAGTTACATACGCAGAAACTGCAAGGAGATTTCTTGTGACCCGAAGTGAAGGCGGTGGGTAACCTAATTATTATTCTTTTGCTCCTTTCAGTAGCCTGCACCATTTTGCAGTTTACAGTGAGTTTCGTTAGATAAGCGAATGCCGGATGTAAGGAATATAGGTAGGTGCGCATTGTTTACATATACGTTCTACGCTTTACGTCCTGTTTACAATAAAACATGGGCCTGGAGCCAAGATATCCGCGTTCAGCAATAAAACACAATAACACAGCCTCCCCCCCATACAGGTACAGGATATAATTAAGGTTATATTAACCAGGTATGTCTGCATTACACACAAAGGATGCCAATGTATTTAAATGTAATTGCTGTAGTTTGGTGCAGACTGTTAAATACATATTTAAATTCGATGTGGATACTTTTATAAATATCGCTTTCTATTTTGATAAACTTCGCGTTTCAGATTTTTATAATCAATGAACCAGACCACTGTAACATATTATAAATCATTTTATTTTACTTTATAAATCCGTAATATAATTTATTTCGGTGGAATATTCTTTATGAACTTAATCGTCAAGCAGCTGAAGTGTTCGTCTTATAAAACGATAAGGTTTTATCTATATAAATGAGAACTTTTTTTTCTGATATGAGCTATTTAAATTATACTGACTACAATAAATAAGGGATTTGCCACATTCTGTGCTTTGACACACAATTTATGTTGAAAATTTGGTGAATTGGAAGGAAGTGACGTCGACATTTTAGAGGTCTTTACTAGACAATATGCCCAGAAGTACCGAGGAAAACAGCGCAATAACTCAACCAGGATTTCCGGCCTTAGGGATTTACAAAACAATGTGGAATAACTGGATTACGAAGTATTTATCGAGACAGTTTGTGCAATCACAAGAATAGACCAATCTAAGATTACCAAAAAATGAGGCTCCTGATATGTCCGTGTATCAATGTTGCACACACAAAGACTTTAGGTTACGTTCCTACTTGAACGTTTCAATGTGAATCCGAAGTCATTTGATTCTCGTAACCCAAAACAAAGTTTCTAAACCTATTTGTCTGTTGCCACGTGTGTGGAACTAACGTGAAGAAGAGGAATTACGCGCATGTGCGTGATAGATCAATATAGGAAGTCACTAACAATGTTAAATCAAAACTTAACTCCTTTCTTAAGTTACACGAACTTCAACCTCAATCGCCGGCTGTTGGTATTCTGAAGTAATACGATGGTAACATGGGCTTATTTCCTTTGTTCTATGGGAAATCTGTCACAACAGTTTTATTTCGAAATTTTCTTTGTATAGTAATTTAGTTAAATATTCACACGCAGATTTTGTGGTTTTAAATAATAAATTTTCCCAACAATGTTAGATCTAGGCCTCTCAATTATGGTACAGTAATAAAAATCGACAATAATACAAATATAAGCCATAGATTAATACATTATGAGTACTATTTCTAACCTGTTGATATTTTAATACATCGCATAGACCTAATTGTTTTAGCCAGTTTCGAATATATTATAGCAAATTAAGGTTCCTTTATACAATAATGTAGTCCTGCTTATTAAAATTTCTCAACATTGAAAATAATAAAGGAATTACCAGTGAAATTTGATGGTGATAATTAAATAAAGTGACCATACAAGATCTAACACTGTGATAAGTGGTCGTATTATAGCTCAGGCGGTTAGTCACCGGCGTCGCAACTCCCCACGACAGTCCATGTGAGATTTGTCATTAAATACGTGTTACCGAGACAGATTTTCCTCAGTGTTTCGGTTTCTGCTCTGTCAATATCATTCCACCGATGCTCCATATTCGCTCGTGTATAACTCATATTGGGTATAACAAAATAAAGTCGGTGGGATTTGTCCCTTGAGTCCAAGTGGGTCACGAGAAAAACAAGAGCAACTAGGAGTAACTTTTTCCTCTCGAAATACAGAATGGTCCTATAAAGTCCGAAATTC